ATGGGAAGAAAATTTGGAACTCAAAATCTTGTGGAAGTGAATGTTGAAAACTAAAAACAAATAAATTAATTAATAAAAAAAAAACTTCCCCCCCCCCCCCAAAAAAAGAGATTGCTCAGTAAATGTCTACAGTTACTCCAGGCTCTGAAAGCCTCCAAATGCTTCAGTACAACTCTATGACATGACTAAGGACAGGGAAACGAAGAATGACTCTTAGAGTTTGGGGCTACAGCTGTAGAAAGGGGGGTAACAAGGATCCATCAGGCAAGGCAGCAACCACAATACAGGAAGATGAACACGGATATATCTGTTGGAGAGAAAGGTCTGGCTACTGGAAGTGGTGAAGGGAGAGAAGTTCTCAAAGGCAGGGTAGGTAGTTTTCCGGGTGAGGGGGCAGCAATAAGTGCCAGGGGGCAGTCTGGGGGCGAGCGATCCCTCTTACTTCCTCATCCTGTAACCTTTGTAGACCTTGCTACCTCTCGAGCCACATGTACACAACTTGGCCCCTTGCCTCACCCTGTCCTTCCCTCCCTGGGCGGGGTCCTGTAAAGTTATATTTCTTGGAGTAGGGGTGAGGGTACAGGCAAGGATCAAGCACTCGGGGACAAAGATTGTCAGTAACAGCAGCAAATTCAAAAGCAGAGTACCTGAGCAGAATACGCAGGTATGTTTTAATGGGGCACCAGAGTCACTATTCAGAAGAAACTGATGAGGTTGAAGGTGAGAGGAAGGACCAGTAGGGGAGGAGGTAATAATTGGAGCTAGGGGAGCTGGGGGATCAGAGGAGGAAGGGAGGACCAGAAGAAAAATTAGAAGGAACTGAAAGGCTCAGCAAATCACAGAGGTTCCCTCATCTGTGTCCAGGGGGATAGGAATGGGATAGCATGAGGAAACAAGATAGCTGACTGCTTAGGATGCAGGGAGTATGGAGGGAAGCATGAGAATCACCCCCAAATCAGGACTGATTTCACTTAGCAGTGAGAAGAGTTAGGCCATCCTAGACATTAGAAGATTATAGGGTTGGGAGTGGAGGGAGTCCCATTTCAAGTTGTCCTATTATTTTTTCAACTTCTAAATGTTCTGTTTTCCTATTGTACACTCATTCTCACCCTACTTACATAATTCATCTGAGCTACAGAGCAGAAAGGTGTTCTGGAGGAGTGGGAGAGAGTAGACAGAGTTAGGTGGCAGAGCTCAGGTTCAAGGAGCATTCAGTTGGTCAGGTCAGAGAACTAGGTCAGGTACAGAGAAGATAGGGCAGACATTTCTCCCCTTCTGCTTTCTCCCCCCACCATCGCCTACCAAATCTATTCATGACTATGTTCTCTTAAACCTTCCTAATTCCTCTCTTTGTGGCCCTTTAAGAAAGTATAGATGTACTTACTAGCTGTGTGACCCTGCACAAGTCACTTAACCCCAATTGCCTCACCAAAAAGCAAAAAAAAAAAGTATAAAGATGTTTGGGGGGAGGACTTAAGGGACAGCAGAAATGGGACTCAGTTGATCTACAGTGATGGAGCGAGGTATCACCTTCCTTCTTCTAGCCTGGGATTCATATACCAACCAGCCTCTTTGTTCCACTTTTGCCAGATCCCACCAGAGTGGATTCCACAGCCCACCAAATCCTGCAAGTCCTTGAGAGCTCCAGATGCTGTCTGAGGAGTCACTTGGACAAGCAATAGGAAACCTCCCTTCCCCGTAGCCCCAAATCGGAAAGAGAAAGGAGAGGCATTGGGCCCCAGAGGCCTAGATTAAAGCAGCATCGAAGAAATTTTGTTCACTAGAATGTCCATGCTTGCTTGGCAGGAAGCACAATTGAAATGATTGTCCTCCCTCCACCTTCCAGAAGTTTATTTGTGAATAGAATGTTAGCAACTTTGAAGGAATTCCCATGCGGGAGCAATGATGTAAATGGTGATGAGATTCCTAAACCAATCCACAAAATCCACATCTGTTTAATCCATAATGTATCTAAAGTATACATGACTAATAATACTATTTCAACAACATACACCTACCATTTATGATGCTTCTATCATTCTGAGGGTCCTCTTTCAGAAACTATGACTTTCCCAGAAGTAATAGCCAAGGCCTAGGTCTCCATTGGCATGGGGGTTAGGAGGTTAATATTCCCAGATACTGGTCCCTTGTGATTACTTCACACCTCTCCATCTACAAAAAGGGAGACACTCTTTTGGGTCAGCCACTACCCAAACATTCTAAATTGGGGAATCAAGAGCAATGGAACCCAGGTGGAGTGAGGACTAGGTTTTCTCAAAGCTCATTTGTGTATGTATATGTGTGCATGTGCATATTATAAAATGTTATATAGGTATATGTGTGTATGTGCATAATTTTAAAGCTAATTATTTATAAGTATATGAGGATCAGTAGCAATACTTTGGGGGAGAGGAATAGAGCAACAGACCTATGATCTCACTGGTATTGGGAATGCCCAGTGAAGAAACTCCCTCAACCAATGTGGTAGATTGCTGAGTCTGTGAGAGTCAGCTGGGGCACTGAATGATAAAGTCACCTGCCTAAGGTAACACAAGCAGTAGGTGTCATCTACAGGACTTAACTCAGATCTTCCTAGATGTGAATCTAGCTGTCTACCTACTCTGCCCTCACTGCCTTAACCTCTCAATTCTCTAAGCAACTCCTTAAGATCATATGTTGCTGAGCAGGTGCCAGCCTGCATGAGAAGAGAGAGTTTCTCCAGCCAGGAGTCCCCTATGCCAGTGAGAAATCACAGATCCAGTTCCTATTCCCTATTAGAGGCAGCTGGTAGAGCAGTGGATAGAGCACCAAGCCTGGAGTCAGGAAGACTGTAGCTGTGTGACCCTTGGCAAGTTACTTAACCTCTGTATACCTCAGTTTCCTTAACTGTAAAATGAGGACAATAATAGCACCCACCTCCCAGGGTTGTTGTGAGGATCAAATAAGATAACATTTATAAAATGCTTAGCACTGTGTCTGGCACATAGTAGATGCTGTACAAATGTTTGGTCCCTCCAAACCCTCCCTAATCCTGTCCCTGATAGCTGGCATTTATAGAGGCCTTTTAGTTTGGAAAGTCCTTTATATATGTTCTCTCATTTAATCCACACAACAATCCCATGAGGCCTATCACAGAATCTCAGCATTGCAAGGGACCTCCGAGACCAGCTCATCCAATTTGTACCTGAACAAGAAGCCTCTCCGCATCCGTGACAACTGGTATCCGGCTTTTAGTCAAAGACTGTCCCACTACCCACTTACCCACTACCTCGTGAGGCCTCCCAACTCTCTTTTGGATGACTCCAAACACTAGGAAGTTTGAGGGGGGAAGTTCCCCTTACATAGAATCTAAATCTGTTCTCTGCAACCACCACCTATTGTCACTAAAGGTATTATTGTCCCCATTTTAGAGATGAGGGAACTGAGGCCAAGAGAAGTTAGGTATCACTAGAATTTGAGACCAGCTTTCTACTGACTCCTCTTTTTTTGAGAGTTGAGGATGAGAAGAATTATTGATAATTCTCGAGAAATTTTGGCCAAGACCAATGGGTAATAAGGAATTAGCATCAGTGAAGCTTTCTATGAGTGAATAGCATGATGGAATGATACGTAAAGGGTATTTTTCTTGTGATGGTATGGTACTGTGGGAACATTAGAAGCAGTAATATCAGCTAGAAGCCTTGTTCAGTAATCCGGGTGAGGAGAGATGAGGTCTTACACTGATAGGCTATGGAAATGGAAAATAGAGACTGAACTAGGAAGCCTTATAGAAGAACAATCATCAGGACCTGGTGATGGAGACATTGAATGGCAAGGAAAGGGAAGAGAGAGGAACTGAAGCTGGTTAAAGGTGTGGTCAGAGACAGAGGCCATGGCAGCGCAAAAAGATCAGTGTTCTATGCTAGAAATGAGGAGACAAATTCTTTTTTTAATTAATTTATTTTGATTTATCAGTAATCACTTCCACATGCTTTTGAGTTTAAAATTTTTCTCCCCCTCCCTCCCCACCATCCTCCCCAAGACAGCGAACAATCTCATATAGGCTATACATATACGTTCCTATTAAACATATTTTCACGTTAGCGATGTTGTAAATAAGAATTAGAACCAATAGGAGGAACTACCAGAAAGAGGAAACAAAACTCAACAGAAGAAAAAAAAATGGCAAATAGTATCCTTCGATCTGCATTCAAACTCCGTAATTCTTTCTTTGGCTGTGGATAGCATTTTGCATCACGAGACCTTTGGAGACATCTTAGATCCTTGCATTACTGAGAAGGCCTAAGTCTATCAATGTTAGTCATCACACAGTGTGGCTGTTATTGTGTACAATGTTCTCCTGGTTCTGCTCACTTCACTCAGCATCAGTTCATGCAAGTCTTTCCAGGTTTTTCTGAAGTCTGCCTGTTCATCATTTCTTATAGCACAATAGTATTCCATTACATTCATATACCACAACTTGTTCAGCCATTCCCCAATTGATGGGCATCCTCTCAATTTCCAATTCTTTGCCACAACAAAAAGATCTGCTATGAATATTTTTGTACATGTGGGTCTTTTTCCCATTTGTATGATCTCTGTGGGATACAGCTCTAGAAGTGCTATTGCTAGGTCAAAGGATATGCACGTTTTTATAGCCCTTTGGGCATAGTTTCAAATTGCTCTCCAAAATGGTTGGATCATTTCACAAGTTGAGGAGACAAATTCTAATTCCACCTCTACTAAGTGATACTCATGTGGCCTTCAGCAAGTCACTTCCCCTATCTAGGCCTCAGTTTCTTCATTTGTAAAATAAGGAGGTTGGACAGCTCCCTGAGATCCCTTCTAGCCCTAACACTTATGATTCAATAGAAGGCTCGCTATATTGAGGGTGGGGAGTGACTTTGTCAGCTTTGCAAGGCATGGCTGGGGCAGATAATGTGATATTCTGATGATGGGACTTGATAGGAATTCATTCTTTTCCATAACATACTCATTTTGACTGCCCTGTTATCTTTCAGAACAATGGCGCAAGGGCCCCTGGGCTTTGCCTGGTTGCTTGGAGGGCTGCTGCTGTTTCTGACAGTGGCAATGGCAGAACACTCCCCCTGGGATTTGAAGAGCAAGGCAACTGTATTTGCAGACCTGAGTCCAGAAGAGCTACGGGTTGTACAGAGTTTCCTCTGGGCCAAAAAAGATCTGAAGCTAGCATCCTCTAAGACTGGTATTATGGCCAAGAATTCTGTATTCCTCATTGAAATGCTGATGCCCAAGAAGCACCAGGTGTTGAAATTTTTGGACGAAGGAGGAAGTCGTCCTGTGCGAGAGGCTCGAGCTGTCATTTTCTTTGGAGCCCAGGAACATCCCAATATCACTGAGTTTGCAGTGGGACCCCTGCCTTGGCCCACTTACATGAGAGTGCTCCCCCCCAGGCCTGGGCATAATCCTTCCTGGGGATCAAGACCCATTTCATCTGCTGAATATGATCTTCTGTATCATACCTTAATGTATGCCATCAAACCCTTATCTCATTTCCTCCAGGATACCAAAAGCTTCTGGCTCCCTAATTGCACTGACCACTGTCTGACCTTCACTGACGTGGCCCCCAGAGGTTTGGCCTCTGGCCAGCGCCGCTCTTGGTTTATTATGCAGCGCTTTGTAGAAGGCCACTTCTTACATCCCACAGGGTTGGAGCTCCTGTTGAACCATGAGAGTTCAGATCCCCAAGAATGGCAGGTTGAACGAGTCTGGTACAATGGGAAATTCTATGAGAGCACAAAAGACTTGGCAGAGAAGTATGAGGAAGGGAAGGTTGACATGGTGATCCTTGAAGACCTCCCTCCTAAGGGAGAGATGGGAGGGGGTACAGAGGAACATCCCCTCTTTTCCTCCTACCAACCCCGAGGTGACTTCCCTACTCCCACTGCTATGTCTGGTCCCCACCTGGTTGAGCCCCAGGGTCCACGCTACCAATTGGAGGGCAATGCCGTGCTATATGGGGGGTGGAGCTTTGCCTTTCGAGTGCGTACCTCCACTGGGCTACAGATTCTGAACCTGCGTTTTGGGGGTGAACATATTGCCTATGAGGTGAGTGTGCAAGATGCAGTGGCCCTATATGGGGGCCACACACCTGCCGGTATGCAAACTAAATATATAGATGGAGGCTGGGGCCTGGGCAGTGTCACTCACGAGCTGGCACCTGGCACAGATTGCCCCAAGACAGCCACTTTCCTGGATGCCCACCACTTCTACGATTCCGATGCCCCAACCCACTATCCCAATGCCCTCTGCATATTTGAGATGCCCACAGAGGTGCCCCTCCGACGCCATTTTGACTCCAACTTCAGTGGCGGCTTCAACTTCTACGCGGGACTCGAGGACTATGTGCTGGTCCTTCGGACGACCTCAACCGTCTACAACTATGACTACATATGGGACTTTGTCTTCCACCACAATGGGGTGATGGAGGTCAAGATGCATGCTACAGGCTATGTCCACGCCACCTTCTTCACACCTGAAGGGCTGCGCCATGGAACCCGCCTCCATACTCACCTGCTGGGCAACATGCACACTCATTTAGTACACTACCGTGTTGACTTGGATGTAGCAGGTAGGACTTTGGGGTCCAAACCAATGCTAAAGGGCAACTAAACATTCTTCCCATAGTCAGTCTAGTCCCAGTAAGAAGGAAAGAGCAATGGTGGGTGTTCCTAAAAGCTCCCATAATAGCCTTGAATGTGGCATTCAACCTGTTTGGCCAAGATTGGCCAACGAGATGGCCAAGTCAGAAGTTACAAAGTTATAAATATGGCTAATCTGCCTGAATGACAGATAGAATGAGAAAGAACAACATGCTATAGAATCCCCCAGACTGCTCTTTGGTCACATACATTGTAGCTGGAGAGAACAGGACAGAACTGAGTATACCAAGATCCAGAGTGCATGTTACAACCATCATCACTGTTGTTACTATGTCTCACTCTTTACATTCTACTTTCCAGTTTACAAAGTGCTCTTCTCTCCACAATTCTGTGAAAGGGACAGGTTGGGAGTTTTTCAAGGGAACTGTTTTATCTGAGCACGTAATCTTTTGGTTGCAGGGAGTTCCCTAGAACGGCAACTTCCTCCACTGATGAAGATCAGCAAATTCTCTTTAGCTTATAGTGTACAGAATTGCCTGGGACAACAAAAGGTTAAGTGACTTTCCCATGGTCACACAGCTAGTATGTCAAGTCAAGCCAAATCAGTGAGAATTTATTAAGTACTTACTATGTGTTAGGCATTGGGTAGCTAGGTAGTGCAGTGCCAGGCCTGGAGTCAGGAAAACCTGAGTTCAAATTTTACCTCAGATACTTACTAGCTATGTGACCCTTGGCAAGTCATTTAACCCTATTTGCCTCAGTTTCCTCATCTGAAAAAATGATCTGGAGGAGGAAATGGCAAACCACTCCAGTATCTTTGTCAAGAAAACCCCAAATGAGGCCATGAAGAATGACTAAAATTTCATGATTCCATAACTGAAAAATTACTGAACACCATGTGCTAGGCACTGTGCTAAGCACTAGAGATACAAAGGAAGGCAAAAACAGTCCCTGTGTCAGAGACGGATTTGAACCCAGGAGTTCCTGTATCCAACACCAATCTACTATCCCTTATAACACACTGTCCTTTTACCCACATAATTATCATATTGCATTTTGTATTATAATATTTGTGCATTTATTTTCTTCTCTAGTAAATCATATGGTCCTTTAGGGCAGGGACTGTCTTATTTATCTTTGTAACTCCCTCAGAGCTTAGCAAAATGCCTTGCACACAGTAGGTGCTTTACCCATGTGTACTGAACTGAATTGAATTAGAGCAGGAGTTCTTAACAATTTGTATGTGTGTGTCATGAACCACTTTGACGGTCTGGTGAATCCTGGGGATTCCATAGAATAATGTATCTTGATTTTAGAGGTGATGAGACTGAGGTTCAATGACTCCCAAGGGGTAGTTTAGCTCATAAGCATCAGAGCTAGAATTCAAACTCAGGCCTCCTGACTCAGAGTTCAGTGTTCTTGTTGAATTATGTAACATAGAAATAGAACCATTTCCAGATGGAGACTTCACATATAGGTAGATTCATTATCCTCTTTGGTCTCAAGTAAGCAAAAACCCTTGTGCCATCTTAAGCACAATAGAAAGATGGAGGCATAACCTGACTCCTTTGCCCCAGAGCAACTCAGACAACAGCAGAAATGAAAGCATGGTTTTTATAGCAATCTCAATGCCTTTAGGTGACCCACTGGGGGCAATTGGCCAGAAAATAGCAGAATCACTCTAGTTGAGAATCTTTGAAGAGCTGCCCTGCCCAGCCCAGCCCAGACTCCTGCATTTTAGTTTAGTATCCCCTGGAATAGAGCCAGGTAAGCTAAGAGGTGTAGAGTTCTATACTAAAAGCCTGAGGACAGCATTGACATTAGAGCTAAGGCTAGCCTAAAATAGAGTAGAAATGCCAAGGGCGGCAAGCTGGGCACAAGTTCATGGATACCAAGTTGTAAAAATTATCCAGTCCCTTCTCCGTGAAAATCAAACTGATTACCTAATCTTGGTGAGTACAGATTATAATGACGGTGATGAGGAGGAAGAGGAGGAGGATAACTAGCATTTGTATAGCATCTACTATGTGCCAGGCACTGTGCTAACTACCTTACAAATATTCTCTCATTTGATCCTCACATCAACCCTGGAAAGTAGGTGTTTAAATTATTCCCATTTTATAGAAGAGGAAACAAAGATTAAATGGCTTGTCAAAGGTCATATAGCCAGTAAGTTTCTGAAGTAGCGTGTAACTCGGATGGAGGCACTCGTCACACATAACTTGTTAGAGTAAAGAGCATGGTTTCTATTCCTTCTCTGTTCCAAACACAGCCCTCAAGAGTGGTTCTGGACAAAGTAAATGCTCAGGCAAGCTGGTTGTATGAATTGTGAATGAGACCATAGATTAAGTGAAAAGTATCTAAAAGGCAGGGTTATGCTGGCAAGTGTTTAACCTCTGAGGGGAAAAAAAATTGCCAAGGACATACTTTTAAGTTTAATCAGCACTATTAACATTTTCTCCATCACTGCCTTAAAGGTAGACAGCACAATAATAAACCAAGCCTTGATTCACAGTTTTTGCTGATATCTGAGGTATAAGTGTTCACACTGAAATTTTAACAATGTGCTCTACCAAGCAGCTCCAGCAAGCCACTGCTTTAAAAACATCAGGTCTGGCCCCTGTCATTCTGCAGGTAAGAAAACTGCGGCATAGAGTAGTTGATTGACTTTATTCAGGGTTTGAAGAAGGATTTGTGCCCTGATCTTTCTGTCTCTAAGTAGGATTTGTAGTATGTTGCACTTTAGTGAGACCGATGGGCTCTTCCTATTCCTCCTCATTTTCCTTTCGCACCACACAGGCACCAAGAATGGCTTTGAGACCATGGGGATGAAGCTGGAGAACATTACCAACCCCTGGAGCCCCAGGCACCACATGGTGCAGCCGGTTCTGGAAAGAATACAGCACCACCGGGAACGCCAAGCAGCCTTCCGCTTTGGCCGGAAGCTACCCAAGTTCCTGCTGTTCACCAGCCCCAAGAAGAACGCCTGGGGTCATAGTCGTAGCTACCGGATACAAATCCATTCCATGGCTGACCAAGTGCTCCCTCCTGGCTGGCAAGAAGAACAAGCAGTCACTTGGGCCAGGTAATGGAAGAGGATTACTTGGGAATTCTTATCCTGGGTCTGGGGATAGATTTCAAGGAATTCATGAACTTGATGGGAAAAAATTACATCTTTCTTTCAATATAATTGGTTTCCTTTGTAAGTCTCTGTATTTTATTTTATGTATTTAAAATATTATTCTAAGAAGGAGCTTATAGGCTTCACTGGACTACCAAAGGGGCTTCATGACACACACAAAAATTTTTTTTTTCATTTTTACCTAATTGGGGTTAAGTGACTTGCCTAGGTTCACACAGCTAGTAAGTGTCAAGTGTTTAGTCTGAGGCAGGATTTGAACTCAGGTCCTCCTGACTTCAGGGCTGGTGCTCTATCCACTGCACCACCTAGCTGCCCCGACACACAAAAATGTTAAGAATTCCTGCTTTAATTTAATTCAGTTCAATACACATTGGTAAAGCACCTACTGTGTGCAAGTCACTGTGCTAAACTCTGAGGGAGTTACAAAGATAAATAAGATACCATCCCTGCCCTCAAGGAGCATGTAGTCTACTAAGGGAGAAGAGACATGCACAAATGCTATTAATACAAAATGTAATGTGATAAGTGGGGGAGGGGGGGAATGAAAAGTTCTATGACAAGCCTGAGGAAGGAGAGATCACTCCTAACAGGGCAGGATCCCAGACAGCTTCATAAAGAAGATTGAACCTTGAAGAACAAGCTACATTTCAATAGTCCAAGATGGTAGGAAGCACATTCAAAGAATAAGTAACATCGTAAGCAAATTCACGGAGGCAGCAAAGTGTGGAAAGAGTTCAGAAAACAGTGAACAGTCCAGTTTGGCAAAAGCAAAACGTACGGTTATCCCTTCCCCATCACGGGCATTAGGGACACACAATCTGGAAAATCCATATAAAAATTTTTGACCCTCCCTTTGTACCAGAGAAGAAGTCTGAATTTTTTCTTTTTCATTTACAGTGCCTTATTGTAAAATTTATCTTGATATTCTACACTACATATAATTAATGCATTTCTGAGTTTCTAAACTTTTTCTGTCATCTGCTGGCCTTCACATGTCATCTGTGACTTCCACAAAGCTCCCAAAAAATTCCCATTTAATTTCTTATTCTTATTAATTTATTTTGACTTATCAACAATCACTTCCATAAGCTTTTGAGTTTTAAATTTTTCTCCCCCTCTCTCTCTGCTCCTTCCCCAAGACAGCACACAATCTGACATAGGCTATACATTTACATTTCTATTAAACACATTTTCATGCTAGTGATGTTGTAAGTAAGAATTAGAACCAATAGGAGGAGCCACCAGAAAGAGGAAACAAAACACAACAGAAGAAAAAATAGCAAATAGTATGCTTCGATCTGCATTCAAACTGCATAGCTCTTTGTTTGGATGTGGATAGCATTTTCCATCATGAGACCTTTGGAGATGTTTTAGATCTTTGCATTGCTGAGAAGGGCTAAGTCTATCAACATTAGTCATCACTCAATGTGGCTGTTACTGTGAACAACATTCTCCTGGTTCTGCTCACTTCACTCAGGATCAGACCATACAAATCTTTCCAGGTTTTCCTGAAGTCTGCCTGTTCATCACTTCTTATAGCACAATAGTATTCTGTTACATTCATATATCACAACTTGTTCAGCCATTCCCCAATTGATGGGCATCCCCTCAATTGCCAATTCTTTGCCACTACAAAAGAGCTGCTATATTTTTATACATGTGGGTCCTTTACCCATTTATATGATCTCTTTGGGATACAGCCCTAAAAGTGCTATTGCTGGGTCAAACAATATGCACAATTTTATAGCCCTTTAGGCATAGTTCCAAATTGCTCTCCAAAATGGTTTGATCACTTCACAACTCCACCAACAATGCATTAATGTTCCAATTTTCCCACATCTTCTCCAAAATTTATCATTTTCCTGTTTTGTCATGTTGGCCAATCTGATAGGCGAGATGTGGTCCCTCAGAGTTGTTTTGATTTGCATCTCTAATCAACAGTGATTTAGAGTATTTTTTCATATGACTATAGATGGCTTTAATTTCTTCATCTGAGAACTGCCTGTTCATATCCTTTGACCATTTTTCATTTGGGGAATGACTTGTATTCTTGTAAATTTGACTTAATTGCTCTATATATTTTAGAAATGAAGACCTTATCAGAAACACTGGCTGTAAAATTCTTTCCTAGTTTTCTACTTCCCTCCTAATCTTGGTTGCATTGGCTTTGTTTGCACAAAAACTTTTCAATTTAATGTAATCAGAATTATCCATTTTGCATTTCATAATGTTCTCCATCTCCTGTTTGGTCATGAATTATTCTGATATGGATTCTAAGAGGCAGAAGTCAGGAAAGAGCCCATTCCTAACATGGGAGACAACCTGTGCAAAGGCCCAAAAGTGGAGATGGAGTACTGTTTATGAGCAATAGTAGGAAGTTTAACTGTTCTGTGAAATTGTCAGTGTCAAATAGCATTCATTTTTACAAAACTTTGAGTTCCAAGTTTTCCTCCCTCCTTTCCCCCCCTCCTCTTTTCCTAAAATAGTAAGCAATTTGATATAGGTTATATATGTGCAAGCATGTAAAACATATTTCCATATTAGTCACAGTTGTGAAAGAAGAAACAGACCAAAAGGGGGGAAAAAAACACCAAAAAAAAAAGAAAGAAAGTGAAAATAGCATGCTTTGATCTGTGTTTAGAGTCAGTCCATCAGTTCTTTCTTTGGACGTGCATTTTCCATCATGAGTTCTTTGTAATTGAGAGAACCAAGTGCGCAGGCCAACCAAATTCACTATTTCACTCCTCTCCCTCGTCTCTGCTCCTGACTCTCCAAACTTCTTTCTCTGCCAAGCTCCTAACCAGGCACTTTCTCCCCTCTCCTACCTCACCTCTTTCAGCTTCCTGTTATGGTTGTCATCCCCATTAAAATATAAGCTCATTGAAGGCAGAGACAGTCTTTTTGCTGGTATTTGTATCCCTAGCACTTAGCATAGCAACTCACACACACATTAAGCATTTAATAAGTGCTTACTGATTTGACTCTATCAGTAGTAGAAAGCATAAAATTGAAGTAAAAAGAGACAAAAATCAGAGAAAATAACCACAAGGCAATTGAAATATTTTTGGTTTCGTTGTTTTGGTTTGTTTGGGAAGTTTTTGCTTTTTGTGTTTTTTTAATTTTGCTTTTAAATTTAGAAATATATTCTGTTTAATCTAAACATTTGGTATAGCTTTATTTAAAAAAAAAAGCCAAGACCAAAAAAAAAGTGAAAAATATAACAAAATCTGGACCCTTCCATTTTTCAAAAAGTTCTGAAAATTCCACATACTAAATGGAAGAGATATAACAAGATAGGAATTACGCCATTAAGATAAAATGTGGGCCTGATCTAGAAATGGGAAGGAACGGAGAGAGCTTAGGGATACTACAGAGATAGACTAGCTAGAACTTGACAACTTATTAGCAATGGGAAGTGAAGGAGAGAAGTCCAAAATAACCTCCTGGGTTTGAGTCTAGGTAACTTGGAGAATGGTTGTGCCATTAATACAAGAGGAAGGACAGATTGGGAAGGGACTATGATTAGTCCATTTTTTGGACATGTTGAGCTAACCGAAAGACATTCAAGTAGGGATTTCTATTAGGGAGTTGGTGGGAGAGAGAGTAAGGCTGGAGATTAGGGCAGCATTTACATAAAGATGAAGAAAAGAGTGTGGGATTGGGGAAAGGTCCATAGCCTCATGGTGGACATGGAGCTCCCTCACTAACAGCAGCCTCCTTAATTGGTTAGGGCTCAGAGGCCACCCCAGCATCCTAAACTTCCTGGCTTCCCTCTTGACTTGCAGGTACCCTTTGGCAGTGACCAAATACCGGGAGTCTGAGCTGATTAGCAGCAGCATCTACAACCAAAATGATCCCTGGGATCCACCTGTGGTTTTTGAAGAATTTCTACGCAACAATGAGAACATTGAGAATGAGGTACAAATCCCATTCCATCCTTGCCTGATCCTCAGCCCATCTTTCAGAAGCCCTGCCTTGAGGTCTAACTTCTTGACTTTGATGTGCTATCCCAATATCCTCAACTTAAACCAATTCCCTCTCCTCAGGGAAGCTTTCTGGGTAGTTCAACCGACCAATACGTCTGGCCTTCATACAAAAAGAAAGAGCACTCTGGCTTTGGACTGAGAAAAACTTAGTTCAAATCCTTCTTCAGATGCTTACTACTTACTGGAATTTGGAAAAGTCACTTAGGTTCCATGGGCCTCCATTTCCTCATCTGTTCAAAAATCCAGATGGACTGCAAGGCTCCTTTCAACTCCAGATCTGTGATACTACATCTCTCTGAAGGACTTTGGAAATTCCAATTTTATTATCAGGCCAAAGGACTGAAACAGAGTTGGGAAGAAGAAATGTGTTGGGGATATCTCTTGGCCCTGATAACATGGATAAAGTCCAGAAATCATTATAGGGCTAACCCTTAGTGTAAGGTTGAGCCTAGGTATCAATATAGGTATCTCTGGGTGTTAGTGGGATATTTCTTGAAACAATCCATGCCAAGAAATGTCCTATTGCCCAAATCCCAGTAACCTGCTTTCTCCTCAACTCTCCTGCTCTCTCCTTATTGCCAACTTATATACCTGATTCCCATTCCTTTCTCCCCACAGGACCTGGTAGCCTGGGTAACGGTGGGTTTCCTCCACATTCCACACTCGGAGGACATCCCTAACACAGCCACACCTGGCAACTCTGTGGGCTTCCTGCTCCGTCCTTTCAACTTCTTCTCTGAGGACCCATCTCTGGCTTCCCGAGGGACTATCATTGTGCGGCCTCAAGCCAAAAGACCTAACCACATCCAGCGTTGGACCCCAGATAATGTGGGAGACTGTTGGAAAGCTTCCTCATTCAAGTACAATGGCACCTACAGGCCTGTGTAATGGGGTCTCTCATCTTCCACATGGAATCCTAAGCCTCTTACTATATCTGTCAATAAACACGATCAGAGTCCAGCTTCATGTACTGCTTTAAGAAAAGGGAAGAAAGAAAAGGAGAGGCATATGCACACATGCTCACAGAAGAAATACATACCAAATATCTAAATTGAGAGAGAGAGAGAGAGAGAGAGAGAGAGAGAGGATTATAATCTCACCTGGGTCACAGTAGTCACAGGAAAACTCTCCAATCCCACTCTGAATGTACTCTTTTGGCTTTTCTATCAAACTTAAACTCCTTATTATGCATTTTTTTTTACTACCCACTCTCTTTTCTACTCACTCTTACCTCTCATCTGTTCCTCTGCCTGCATCATCACTCAAATTTTCCTAGCATTTTTTGGTGATTCTTCTTCACTCTCTGATCCTTCATCCATTTTGTTCTCATTTAGACAAGTGGACCTCTCCTCATCTGCCAAGCTACATTATTCGGTACTATACAACTGGGCTCCCTCAGCCCATCAGGGACTCTGACTAAACAGAAGCCCCAACCTGAAACATACACTTAAACTTACCTGCCCCAACAAAGTTAGCACCTTCCCCCCAACCAGTAAATACATATACATATACATATACATATATATATATATATATATATATATATATATATATATATATATAAAATGTGTATGTGTGTATATGTATGTGTGTGTGTGAATTGTTTCTTTCCTGTGTTAATTGTATAGTACACAGCATCTTGGGGGAAAAGTAGGGAGAAACACTGACAGAAAAAAAGAATGAAAGGAAAAGGAAGTAACACTTATTAACCATGTGACTCTGGGCAAGTCACTTAACCCCAGCTGCCACACACACACACACACACACACACACACACACACACACACACACGCACAATAAAGATAAAGAAAGAAATGATGAAGTAGAACTATACATCCCCATGGGGGACATCCCAATATGTTGGATACCAAATATCATCTTATTCTGTTATTCTGTGTGATCCCCTTCACCAAAGCCACTCCTCTAGAGCTTTTCTAGATATCTATTTTCAATGTTTTATTACTCCTACTATCTTCCTCATTTCACTCTTACTCATGTACTGATGAAAAGAACTGGAAGAAATCATAGAGTTCTATCATTGAGTGGATCCACTATATATTTATATTTTCTAATCTCAACTGGACCTTCACTTCAGAAAAGCAAATATTCTATTCCTCCCTAATTTACTATCACTCTCCAAGGAAGCCATTCCAAATATTCTCCTCTTTATTCATGTTTCCTATGAGTGGGAGCCCAATATTCTGATTCACAAACCAGTTCTATATCACATTACCTCCACCTTTCAGACACACATGAATACATAGACCCACCCTGATCCCAGGCCACAATACAACCTAGATGGCTGTCCTATCTCTCCATTACAAAAATAAATTTGCTCACATCTCAATCCCCTGTTACTCAACCACTGGTTTATATATTTAATTATTTTTCAAAGCTAGAAATTAGCACTGCCTATATTATTTACTTCCGGTAGTTTCTCCAAATACCAAATATCTGCCCTTCACTAAGCAACTATCACATTCTGTAACAAAAAACACTGGCCCCCTGACCTATGAATCCATCCCCAGGTATCAGAGGTACCATATCTCTACATTCCTCTCCTTTATTCTTAGAGGTCCTCCTTTTACTTCTCTGCTCATCTCTCATTGATCTCTAGCTTTATTGTCCCAAGCTATTAGCTTCCTTTCTGATACCTGGCTTCTATTCTATCTTTTCTTTTGGTAGACTTTCTTTTAGTAGACTTTCACTAGACACTCTACTATCTGAATGCAATTTTCATTCTTTCCAAAGGTTATATGGATGACATTATGTTGAAGTGACCACAGCAAATTCTACTTCATGCTTGGCTTTTTTCACTCATTGTCCTCCTCATTATCACAGTCCACCCTCCAAATCCTCTTTCTCCCTCTCTTTCACTTCTTAGGACCAGAATCTCAGTCAGAGCCCAGAACCCTGACATTACCTGCTGCCAGCAAACTTGTAGCCATAGATGTATGGTTCTTGGAGCCTGATATTTCATGATACACTTGAAAACAATAACAGTTCAGTAGTGGAAGATGCTTTTAGAGTGCTGAATTGAAGGTTAAGCAGAATGGATCTATTGATTACACAATGTGGATTCTAGTTATGCCAGAAGATATGGCTCTCCCATCTCTCTCAGAGGCCAAATATTCTTAGAGTAGATGAGGATAAGTTTTCAACTCCATAGGAGGAGGAAATGCCTGTATGGAATTGATTTCAATTGAGATCTAGGTAGAGACTAAAGCCAACCAAGGAAGTCTAGGATTCAGGACAAAGACCTTACTGACAGGTGACTTCACTCATTGGGAGCTATCCAGGGTGCTAGGAGCTGCACCTCACTGTTCCAGGTCTTATTTGATTGCACCTTACCCTGCTAATATCAACTAACCCTTAAGTCAGTCACCTGCCTCAACCCGTTTCTGGTCTGATCTAACATATTCTGTGCCACTGGCCTGCACTAACCTATCTCTCACCAGATTTTGGCTCCTGCTTACATCTGCTTCTTTCTTCCTTCTTTCGTTCCTTCCTTCCTTCCTTCCCTTTTTCCTCCTTTTCCCTCTGTCTACATGGGGAACCATACCCTTACATGTGGGTGTTCTGCCCAAAGGAATATGAACTTTAATCACTTAAACCTCATATCTTAGGGTTTGAAGGCTAGATTTTTTTCACTTCCCTACTTATTTATTCTATCATTTAAAAAAAAACTGGGACAATTAACTCTTTCGTCCCGTGTAGTTTCATTTATGATACCTTGAAATAACAGCTCTGGAAAACCGGGCTTTGATAAAGTCCATTGGGGTTCAAATGGAATAACTTGACTATGCCTTAAACCTAAATCACTCTGGTTCTCACTAATCGGCCAATAGGGTCCAAGCCCAAGCCTATTTGGTCATTGTTTAGATTTGATGGATCAGAGTGAGTGTAAGTAAGTAGCAATTGCTTCTTTTCTGGCCAGAAGCCCTGAGGGTCTTCCCCTCCCATAATGATTTTTTTGTGCAGGCGAACTACACCATCTTTTGCCTTATTTCTCACCTACCTTAAATCACTGAATGTGTGTCCCCTCAGACAAACTGAGACCTGAGAAAAAGCTTAAAAAGGCAAGGTCTCCCACTGCATCTGGGGTCATCTCCAGTCATCTTGACTTATGTGTTGCCACTGGACTCAGATGACTGGAGGAAAGAATGAGGCTGATGACTTTGCACAGCTTTGACTCACTCAAATCCAAATCACTAGCAAGTCAAGACATCATCCTACTGCTGTCATTGGTCCTCTTTTAAGAACAAAGGATGAACAACATCTGCTTTTATGTCTAAAATAACAACCCAATTTCTCTTATTCCTGTTGGCTATATTGACATTATCCACTGATTATCTACATTCTCAACAGAAACATAGTTTTTATTGCATTTATCCAAAAGTCCTTATTATGATCTAGGGGTAACCCTCAAAGGGGAATGCAAGCTCAGGTTCTACCATAATAATAAGACTTCATGCATAATTCTGGAAACACATTATGACTGCTTTCTGAGGACCACAATAGTTAAAATATAGAAGACCCTTACCAATAGGCTACTCACTTCATAAACAATTCTTTCACTATGGTGCCCCATTAAACAAAGAAAAAAAGAAACCAACCTTCAATCCTGTGTGGCCTTGTTTCAACTTTGCAATAATGGTGGCAGAGTGGTAGAAAAAGGAAAGGAGGACCTATAACTCACAGTTTGGGGGCTGCCTATGAATTCTAACTTAGCTGCTGGTACTCCGTTCAGTGTAGGATTTTTGTTTAGTGACAAACAAGTAGAAATATACTAAGCACACTAAATCATTTCAATCTTGACATTTCTCACTATAAATGAAATCAGGTGATAAAAAGTAATTACAACTAAATAGAAGGCCCACAATTTCTCCTTAGAGAGACAAAGAATTTACAAAAAGGAATAGGTAGCATGGGTTTAATTGTGTAACTGAAGGCAACAAGATATGCAGATATCACAGAATACTTGCTCATCTCTTATTATTGTAGTAGTTGTTGTTGTCTTTGTTGTTAAGTAGCAGTAGTCATTGAATAGTAGTAGTAGTAGTGGTGGTGGTGGTGGTGGTGGTGGTGATAGTAACAGTAACAGTAGTTGTAAATAATGACAAAAATAAATAACTAGCATTAAGGTTTACAAAATGCTTTACAAATATCCCATTGGATCCTCACAACAACCGCAGTAGATAGGTGGTATGATTGTCCCATTTTACAGGTGAGAAAAATAAGTCAGAGGCTAAGTGACATCCAGGATCACAGTCAGTTACTGTCTGAGGCCAGATTTTGGCTCAGGTCTTGCTAAAACCATGGTAAGTATGAAGAAAGACCACCATGAAGACAACTACAGCTTGCGATAACATCTGTTACAGACAATGAGAAGGTAAATCCTCCCCAAGTTAAATCAGCAATACTTTAGTACTCAATGATTTCAATTCAAAGATGGCTATATAGGAGGATGGCAAATATATACACATATATATGAGAGAGAGATCTGAATGTGTGTGAGGGAGAGAGAGAGAGAGAGAGAGTGAGAGAGAGAGAGAGAGAGAGAGAGAGAGAGAGAGAGAGAGAGAGAGGAAAAGACCAAAAGCTTACAGGCAATACAGAAGTTTGACTTCATACCTATAGATTATGAATGCTTTCTTCAAGAACACAGTCAATAAGTACTAGGCATGATCAAATTTCTCATTTTGGGGGCAGCCCTGGATTCAAGAGGATCTGAGTTCAAATCCAGCCTCAGACACATAACACTTACTAGCTGTGTGACCCTGGGCAAGTCACTTAATCCCCTTGCCTAGCCAAAAAAAAAAATTCTCATTTTCTAAGACAAGAAACAACTAGTTACCAATGTGGTAGTTATTTCAAAGTCAGGTGTTTATATTCAGTAAGACTAGTTAGAGAAATAATCAAAATCAATGACAAATAAGA